GCGGACAACGCTCGGGGGTCATAGTCTGAATGGCCCGGGTACAATTCCGGCGGAGACGGAAACAAATACCCAGAGCCTCTTTCACCCCTGATACACCTGTTCACCTAGCAGTAAATATGTACCTGGTAGTTAGCCAACTGCTACGGGCTGCTAACTGGTAATGTGTGTGTATGCGCGTCTGTTAGAGAGAAATATATACAGTAGACATAATAGAGGAAAAACAGATTGGCTAGAAAGGCGGGTTCCAAGAGCTAAATAGCTCGATTCTGCAGACACAAATAGCAAATACAAATAACAAATACACACAAACACAACAAAACTCCATAATACCACATTCCAAATGACTGGTGAGAGGTAATCCACCCTCACCACTGCTCACATCTCTGCCAGCAACAGTTCCCACAACGTTAATCAATCCACCTGTAAACAGAAAACTAATTAAACTCAGGTAATTAAACCGAGAGATCACCCATGCACTGAGGTCGCTCGCTGACCACGATTAGTCCCAGGAGCGAGGCCGATTGGCATTGTTCTCAGCTATAGGTGCTGAGGATGGAGCCTCAGTGCTGAGGATGGTCCTAGGTGCTAAGGATGGTCCTAGGTGCTAAGGATGGTCCTAGGTGCTGAGGATGGAGCCTCAGTGCTGAAGATGGTCCTAGGTGCTAAGGATGGTCCTAGGTGCTGAGGATGGTCCTAGGTGCTGAGGATGGTCCTAGGTGCTGAGAATGACCTTGGTGCTGAGGATGGAGCCTCAGTGCTGAAGATGGTCCTAGGTGCTAAGAATGGTCCTAGGTGCTAAGGATGGTCCTAGGTGCTGAGGATGGTCCTAGGTGCTGAGGATGGTCCTAGGTGCTGAGAATGACCTTGGTGCTGATACTGCTAGGTGCTGAATTTGGCTGGAAATGACGTATATTGTACTGCAATTGGGAGCTGGTTCGACTAGCCATGTACGGTGTATGATGATGATGATGATGTATGATTGTGATGTTTTATATATGACAGTGACATATAGTGTATGAAAGTGATACACTATGCATGATGCTGATGTATTTTAACAGAGAAAAATGGTGCCTAAGAATGTACTTACTATATGTGATAGTGGTAAAGGGTGTATAGGCCTAATGAGAGAGAGAGAGAGAGAGAGAGAGAGAGAGAGAGAGAGAGAGAGAGAGAGAGAGAGAGAGAGAGAGAGAGAGAGAGAGAGAGAGAGAGAGAGAGAGAGAGAGAGAGAGAGAGAGAGAGCACATGGAGTTCAATGGTTCCTAACTACAAACTAGTGTCACTGCTTCCGAATACTGACAAAAGTCTTGGTGAGGGACATTAATCCAACAAATGACAACATACTGACCATCACCGGTTACGATGGGGCCGACAATCAGGGTCCAGGAGAGGGCGACCTATCGCTGATCTCTTTGATAAATCTTTCCACTAAGTGCATCAGTCACTGGACGAGTCAACAGTGTTATTGCAGTGAACATTGCAAGCGACTTTGATCTGATATGAAAGTCTGGATAACCAGCAAGACTTCAAGCACTAGGCGTTGCTTGCAGAGTCCATTTGTGCGGCTAAGGAGGAATCATGTCCTTAGTTGGACTTCAGGAGTTATTTGGATTCTGTTCCTCAATGGAATAGAATCTGAAAGCACTGAGTTAGTACCAGCATGCGCCGCAGTGAACGATGCTGGGAAGGGAACAACTATATGGGAAAAGGAAGGGGTCAGGATAAGGATTTGGGATGGGACGAGGGGGGAAAAGAAATGGTGCCCAACCATTTGGACGGTCGGGGATTGAACGCCGACCTACATGAACCGTCGCTCTACCGTCCACCCCAAGTGGTTGGACGGAAGAGAGCGGGAACGGAGACGAGGTTTAGATGTCCTGTCCCCATTAGTAAGCTTCTGTGATGAATTCTGAGCCTGTCTGTGGGAGTTTGATCGCCATCGTTTCAACACAGCTTTGAGAAAATCCAGGGCAAGATTTAGTGGGATTGGGCGCGTATTCGGCGAGTGCTTCCTGCGTCAGCCTCCTGCAAGAGCGTGCTCTTCACTGCGTCGTGAAAGATCGAGAAAATACCATTTCGGACCATCCTTCGTGGTCGAAGCAGGAAGGAACAGATAACTATTTTCACAAGCTCAATGAAAATGTAAACGAATATGGATGAAAAGACGAAGGAAGAGGAGAGAGAGAGATGAAGAAGAAACAGTACTAATAAAGAAACCATACCAGGCAACAATACCACCTTCCTCAGCCTCACGACGGGGTTCGAACCAGAGTCCTATTGATCGGAAACAGAGAGACGTGTGTGTCCAGCCCACAGGCGGAACAGCTGGTCCAAGTAAATAATGTTTCGAGTGAAAAAATGTTGAAAATGTAGTTTCCAGGTTCTATAGTTTAGTAAACACAAGAGTGACCTCGTCGTCTGCAACTGTGACCTCGTTAAGTAATTAATCTCACCTCAGATATCAATCCTGCCACTGTTTTCCTAGCGTCGTTCCTGTGAA